AATTTAAATACCTTACAGAATTGATTAACGTATTTTTTAAATAGATTATAAAAAATAACGTTGCCTTATTTGGATTTAAAAGAAAAACAGTGGTTTAACTACAGGAAGTTTCTGTCGATTTAAAAATTGAGTAAAAAATCAAACAATTATGTATAGTTTTTGGCAATTAAAGTTCATTTTTTTTAAATTGTTATTTCTTTTTCTAATTATTCCAAGTCCAGAAAACAAGAGCAAAAAAACAAAAAAAAAATAGCCAAAACACAATGTTTTTACGATATCCCTAAATTTTTGGTTTAAAAGGCATGTTCTCGATGATAAATAAATGTCACTACAAGCTAAAGAAAAAAAAATCATTTTATAATTTTGTCTAAAATAATTTATTAAATATTAACAAAAATAAAAAAAATGATTCAAAACAACGATCAGAGAGCGCTCCATTTTTTAAATTTTTTCAAATTTGGCGAATTCTTCAATTTATAAAAACTTCATACATCATACAAACTCATAAGAATGTTTTTAATTGTAAATTAAAAGAAAGAATATACCAATTTTAGCATATTGAAAAAAATAATTTAAATACTTTACAGAATTGATTAACGAATTTTTTAAATAAATTATAAAAAATAACGTTGCCCATATGTAGATTTAAAAAATAAACAGGTTTAACAGTGGTCTAAGTACAGGAAGTTTCTGTTGATTTAAAAATTAGGTAAAAAATCAGACAATTATTGTAGAGTTTTTTTTTTTGGCAATTAAAGTCCAATTTTTTTCTTAAATTGTTATTTCTTTTTAATCTCCTAATTACTCCAAGTCCAAAAACAAGAGAAAAAAAAACAAAAAAAATAGACTAAATACAATGTTTTTACGATATCCCTAAATTTTTGGTAAAAAAGGCAGTAGAAATCAATAATAACATGTTCTCGACGAAGTAATTATGATAAATAAGTGTTTCTACAAGCTAAAAAAAATTCTCATTTTACGAGTATAATTTTGTCTAAAATAATTTATTAAAAAATATTAACAAAAATAAAAAACAACGGGGGGTCAGAAAGCGCTCCATTTTTTATTTTTTTAAATTTTACGAATTATTCAATTTATAAAAACTCACACATCATACAAACTCATAAGAGTGTTCTTAATTGTAAATTAAAAGAAAAAACATACCAATTTTAGCATATTTAAAAAAATGTTTAAATACTTTAAATTTCTTTGTACAGATTTGATTAACGTATTATTTAAGTAAAATATAAAAATAAGGTTGCCCATATTTGGATTTAAAAAATAAAGAGGTTTAACAGTGGTCTAAGTGCAGGAAGTTTTTGTTGATTTAAAAATTAAGTAAAAAAATCAGACAATTATTGTATAGTTTTTGGCAACTAAAGTCCAATTTTTTTCTTAAATTGTTATTTTTTTTAGTTTTCTAATTATTTTAAGTCCAAAAACAAGAGCAAAAAAACAAAAAAAATAGCCAAAACACAATGTTTTTACGATACCCCTAAATTTTTGGTTTAAAAGGCGAAAAATCGAAAATTTCTTGTTCTCGATGATAAATAAATGTCACTACAAGCTAAAGAAAAAAATTCATTTTATAACTTTGTCTAAAATAATTTATTAAATCTTAACAACAATAAAAAAATAATTTTTTATTTTTTCAAATTTGGCAAATTAT